GGGCCGAGGATTACCGCAAACTTTGCCACAAACATCAACTCAAAATATGCATGTTTAAATCCATGTTTGACATTTCAACATGCCGCCAGAGGGCGCTCTAAAATTTGATGACGTCACCTGTTAAATTTGGGTACAGTACTGCCTAGGCGGACACTCGAATCGTTGAAAGCAAGTTCGCATCTTCTGCCAATTTCAATAAATAAGGCACTTCCGGCTTTGACCGGAAGGAAGGGTCACGTGATTTTGCACTTAAAACCAAAAATGAAGACCCTGCAATATTTCATCGATTGTCATCAAAACAAAATCAAATCTGTAGCAGTCGATTTTGTATTGATTTTCAAAGATTAAATTTGGAAATATTTATTTGCTTGTAATATGACACTTGATGACGTCATCGCCAGAAACCTCCAGAGCTATATTTACTCTGCTATATATAGCCACATCTTGATTATATCTCTCACGGTTGATTTTTTAACAATTGTTAAAGGTTTAAAGGTCTTTTCATTATAACTTCCGGTCTGATGACGTCATCCATTTTTTTTTCGCGCACAGGTCCTTCTGCATTAAGTTCATCATGTATGTTAGGTTTGAAGCGATTACCGCAAATTTCGCCACATACATCAAGTGATAATGCGTTTTCGACGTTTTTTTAAACTGCCGCTAGAGGGCGCTCTAACACTTTATGACGTTTCCTGTAATATGTTTGTACAGTACTGCCTAGGCAGACACTCACATCGTTGAAAGCGAGTTCGCATCTTCTGCCTATTTCAAACAATGAAGCACTTCCGGTTTCGACCGGAAGGAGGGGTCACGTGATTTTGCACTTAATACCAAAAATGAAGACCCTGCAATATTGTATCGATTGCCATAAAGAACAAAATCAAATCTGTAGCGGTTGATTTTACATTGATTTTCAAAGATTAAATCTAGAAATCTTTCATTGCTTGTAATACGACACTTGAGGACGTCATTATGACGTCATTACCAGAAACCTCCAGAGCTATATTTACTGTGATGTATACAGCCAAATCTTGATTGCATCTATCACGGTATATTTTCTAGCATTTTTTTAAGATTTAAAGGTCTTTTTATTGTAACTTCCTGTCTGATGACGTAATCAATGTTTTTTTCGCGCACAGGTGTTGTCTGCATTATGGTCATTACATTACATTAATTTTGAAGCGATTACCGCAAAATTCGCCACAGACATCAAGTGAAAATGCGTTTTTGACGTTTTTTAAACTGTCGCTAGAGGGCGCTCCAACACTTCATGGCGTCATCCATTACTTTTTTTGAAAGGTCAATCCAGGCAGACACTTAAATCATTAAAAGCAAGTTCATGTCTTTTTCCACTTTTAAATTATAAGGCACTTCCGGTTTCGACCGGAAGGAAGGGTCACGTGATTTACGCGCACAACATGAAGATCATGTATTACCTTGTCTATTCCCGCAAATTTCAGGTTCCGGTCTCTCGCGGTTGATTTTATATTGAATTTCAAAGATTAAATGTATTAAACTTTCGAGTGACGTCACGTGACCCATGATGGCGTCATGATTACGTAATTGCAAAAATAAAATAAAAACACATCTGCGGTGGATTGGGCATTCATGTATTGACAAATGAAGTTCATATATGTTTCCATTTTTCCAAACAGTTCTGGAGAAGGATTTGCTGAGAATATGCTGAGAAGAACAAAAACAGTAAATTCTTACAAAACCAATTGGTGTTGGGCTCAAGGCCCAACACCTAATAAAATCCTTTGGGGTCCAAACTCTAGCAAGCTACCTTCATTGTATCAAGGTTCAAGACATAAATAAACACTCAATCCAGATATCGCTGTGGAACCAAATGCACACGCACACACATGGACGGCCAAGGCGGAAACAGTATGCCCCTTCGGCTTCGCCGGCGGGGCATAAAATAGTCGATGAAAAATGGGCGAGCCAATATAGTTCATCGCACTAAATATCCATTAAGTAACAACAATGGCGTTACGTTGTTCTTTTCTCATGAATAAACGTAATTTTCCCCTAAAACTACTGAAAAATCGTGATCCATTGACGATCACTGCTGAAGAAAAAAATGTGGACACCGCGACGTTAACAAATAAAAGACTCTTTCAACAATAATTATTATAACCAGCAAGTGTACTAAGCATTCGTAATGCTGTGTGGTGTACAACAACAAAATGTACATGTACATGAACTATACATGTACACCTATACATGTACATTATACTGTGCAAGAACAGCCACACCGAAAACATACAGTGCATGTACAGGAAATCTATCTTCCTTTTTGCCCCAACTTATGGAATAGGGGAGGGGGACACTGCGTATGCCATACGTACGGGAAGGGGGTGTCTAAAAAGTCGGCATTTCATGCATATCATAGGAGGCTTTATGGGCTATATAGCTGCTCGCATATAGTTTCTCGAGAAAACAAACACACACAATTCCACCTACGATAGCGGGAAAAATAGGTGCGTCAACACCTCCTCCCTGGAGCAGCTGGCAATGCAGAAGCCGACGAATGAAACTGAATCTTACCTGTTACACTCTTGACTTTCCCTGCCATTGACTTGGTTTCTTCCCCAGTACCGCATCCCACGTCCAGTACCGTGTCTTCTGGTCTCAACTCCAGTTTGTCAATGTGTTGCATGATGACGGAATGTTGGGCGAATCTGCCATCCCCGCAGTAGTCGTTGCTCGCTGAGAAATTCATGAGAGATGCTAATTTTCACTGGTCAAAACAGAATATGAAAGTAATGATAATCTTTAGGAACTATGACTGTGTCTGAACAACCCCGAATGACTTCATTCACACACTGAACTGTCGGGTATCAGACGCGTTTTGCATGATTCATGTTCAGCATTGACGGCATACGACCTTGAACTGTGACATGAACATTACGCTATCATCATACATTGGTGGCGCCAGACTCTAAATTGCGGCGGAGGGGGGGGGGGTAGTCCCCAGGGTGTCGAGCAGTACGCGCCCACCACTACCTGCTCTCTCACCCTGGTACTGACGTTTGCATGTGCACGATTTTTGAACACGTATGCAAATGAGGAATAGTCTGGTGCGTGCTGGTGCGTTACATTTGCGTTTGCTTTGTTATGCAGTGTCTGGGGTAAAAACAGAATCAATTCGTCGCAGCGCGAGCATGGCGTGAGTTAAGAAAGCACGCTTTTATTTTAATTAAACTGTTACGATCTTAACAAAACAACTTGCAGTATCATATGTCATAGTAATATTAACAAATTAGGAAGGACATGAATGTTTTTGAGAAGGCGTGGATGAATGATCGCGAAAACACGTAATGCACGTTGTGAATAACAAACCAAGTACACGATATAAATCCATTTCTGACCAATTGCGGTATAGAATCAGAATACAGGAAGAAAGTGTCCTATCCAGGGCTATACTATTGGAAACGAGGTTGGAAATAAAGTGAGCACTCGGGACGAGGTTGGGGAGGGGAACACTCTGCGCAGTGGCGGAGTTGCCCCCCCCCCCCCCCCCCCGTCCAGCCTGAGACAAATGTTGTGTAGAATGGGGAAAACATTTATTTTCAAATTGCCTTAGTTAGAATGCAGGAGAAAGCACGCTGGTACCATCTGTCGATGGGGGCGCTTTTGAAAAACGACGATTATGCACACTAACGCACAATATAATGGTGCTTTTCAGGGCGATACGTGCGCGATGTTAAATGGCGACGTTACATGACACAAACAAGGTACGACCTTTTTTTTTTTTAAAGGGCACTTGTTCAGAACAAAAGGGCACTTGTTAAAAGAATGACACTCTTTACAATATTTTTTTTTAGGGGAGGGCAGTCTTTACATAATATGGGGGGGGGGGGGAGTATAGATACCCCAAGGCTACGTCTATGCTACTAAACTAAACACAGTGGCAGTGGCCACACAGAAAAAGAGCAGCATAACTTAAGCTTTAACTAGTAAACATTTTAACTAATTTTGTGCTCCTTAACAATTAGATAATGAAATCGAATTTGAAAAACCTGTTACACTCTTGACATCCCACGTCCAGTACCGTCTCTTCTGGTCTGAAGTTGAACTCCAGTTTGTCGATGTATAGTCTTTGAAGTAGACCATGGCGAAAGCCATGGTCTATGATGCATGATCTGAGTTGCTGATTAATTAGACAAGACCCCGCCTCTTGACCTCCTAGATTTTGACTAATCAGCGGGCTCTTTCTATTTCGGGTCTTCGGTCATTCACCCGTTGCGCGTCATGGACATGGATAAAAAAAAACTGTGTCACGGCGCCCGTGGCGGCGCTCTTTATCATGTTACGCGAATGCGCGCCCGGCTGTTGTTGTCTCACAAAACACTGCATTCGAATTCAGTCAGTTGCCGTGTCACGCGTAGCTGCTCTATTTTCTCGTCCAGACAACTGACAGCAACGCGAGGCCAGCGAACGATGGCCGTAAAAAGGGCTTTAGAAAATTCGCAATTTTCATGCCAAACCACAACTGATCCAAACAAACAAAGCTGTCTCAGGTAGTTAAAGACCTACTCAATGCATCTATCGAGGTATTTGTTGGTAAAAAAAAATGATTTCGATGAATTTTGACGATATTATTTCACGGACAAATCGACTAAAATTATGTCATGAATTTTCCGGGTTTTTTTCGCCAACGACGAAAGTCTCCCAAATGTTAATGTACTCAAGGGAAAGAATGAACCTTCATCTACAAAAAATCTCGTGAAGGTGATGTCGTTAATATCTTAAGAATTCGATGTACACCTAATGTTTCTAACAACTTTTTGTTGGAAAACAACAACATTTTTCACAAACGCGAAAAGATCGTCGCCATTGCATGCATCGTAAAAGCATATAAGGGGCGCGAGGGTGACGTCATTGTTTTGTTGGTCTGCCATGTTGGATTACAACATAACAACAACAAAACGCACACAAGTACCCGTACCCACGTACGTACGTGACGGTAGCGTAGCGCAGGTGGCATACACACTTTTGTCAGTTGGTTGCTGTTTCGACATTTTCTATTTTTCCAAGCAGTGTAAGACATCGAAATGGTGATTTTTTGCGCAATTATTGGCTGCAGCAACTGGGGGGATCGGGACACAAAATCTTTTTTTCGGCTGCCCGCCGTTTTGACCCGAGAAGGAGCTGTCACTCTGGAACTCTCCCAGAGCAGACGCGCTAAATGGCTGTCGCTAATCGCCCGAGACATTAAAGAGAGCAACTTGCCGTATGTACGTTTCTGCTCGGACCATTTTACAAGCGGTGAGTTATTTAAGTAAAAGGAATTCCGTATACGGACTCCTCTTATTTTTCCTAAATATGACTTGAAATTAAGTACCCAAAGTTGTAAATCTGATGAAGAAACGCAAATTTAGGAGGGAAAACTGAATCAAGATTTTTTTGTCAGAAAACACCTTGACTTTTTTTCTGTCTTGGCCCATACAGTTTGTGCAGAAGGTCTGAGGAGGAGTCTGTATATGGAATTCTTTCCTAAAAATAATTATTTTAATAATATTATTAATATTACACTACAGTTACAGGAGTGAGAAAATTTAAAGTTTTTCTTTGAAATTTATGAAAAATCTTTTATTCTGTCGTACTCCATGGACTTAATGTTCCCCTGGCCCTCTCCACCTGCACTATCCCGACCCTTATTTGGGGTTTTCGTTATGTTTTTCATGCCCCAGGATAGGGATTTTGACACAAATTTAAAGTTTAAGTGTACCTGTGACTGTGAGCAAACCGCGCTCAGATTTTTGCCAGATTTTCTTAGGAAACATTGGCATGTCCCGTAAGTGTAGGTTTTGTGCATGGAAGTGGCTGGGTATGGAATTCTTTCCAATATTTTTCCTCGCTATTTTTTTTTTTTCATCAAGCCTGCACTTTAACAATATTGTAAATCCATAGTTGGATGATGATGCCTAGCGGCGATGTCCAGTCAACATTCTGAGATTCTGAGATAGTACTTGGATAATGGATATTATATGGAAATCAACGCTCATTTTCTCTGCCAATTTCTTGTACATTAGCCCTTTTTGTAACCGCATACGTAACCCCTAACTGCTCACATTGCTTTTCTGTCGTGACCTTTGACAATACCCACAATGCCTGACAACGGTGATCAACATCAAGATGGCATCCTACAGGGAGCAGTGCAGGACACATGCAGAGTGCGCGATATCAGACCTGCTTGACGCAAGCGCCTAGATGAGATGCACACAAAAAGCCTTTGTGTGAACGTAGTAGCACATGCATTGTCAAAGGTCACGAAAGAAAAACAAGGCGCATTGTTACGTATGTGCAGTTGGGAGTAAAAAACAAAGGATTATGGAACCAACCCTCTTTTTGTGATCAATAGGGGTCCACCCACTATAATGTTATTTGAATGAACAATTTGTTAACTTATTTTGTATTTTATTCCCTGTAGGAAAGCCCTCTGCATTGTATGATAATACCAATCCAGACTGGGCACCAACTGTCAAGCTTGGTCACAGCAACATAGATGGTGCAACTGCCACTCGAGACTTGGAGAGGTACCAAAGACGCTGCTACAGGCAGGGACAGAAGTCCAAATTGGATGCCGCCGAGGCTCTTCTCAGCTTCATTCTGTTCCCAAGACCCCCAAACGACAACAGTCCACTTCCGAAGAGGCCTGCCAAACTGACTTGGATAGCAACTCCATGAATTCCACACAAACGGAATTACAGCGATTGTTAGAGGAAAACAGAAAATTGAAAGAGCAGCTGGCTGAGAGTAACAATAATTTTGATCGGCAGTTCTTCCAAGATAATGATGAAAATGTGAAGCATTTCACATTATTGTCAAGCTTTGCCATTTTGGATGTTCTGTTTACGTACCTAGAAACACTCATTGTGTGCAGCTGTTTGAACAAGTTAACAAAATTTCAGCAGCTAGTGTTGTGCCTCATAAAACTCCGACTGAATCCTACATTTGTGGACCTTGGGCAGAGGTTTAATGTGCATAAGTCTACAGCATCTAAAATATTTTTGAACATTATTAACATCATGTATATCAGACTGAAGCCACTCATATTTTGGCCTGATCGGGAACAGCTGTGGGAATCTATGCCCATGAGTTTCAGGACACACTTTGGCAAACAGATAACTGTTATTATCGATTGCTTCGAAATATTTTTAGAAAGGCCGTCCAATCTTGCAGCACGAACGTCAACATGGTCTTCGTACAAACACAACAACACTGTTAAATACTTAATCGGCATCACCCCTCAATGAGTCATCTTATTTATCACAAGGCTGGGGTGGAAGAGCAAGCGACAAATACGTGGTTGAACATTCATCTTTCCTCCACAAGTTGTGTCCAGGGGATGTTGTGATGGCAGACAGGGGATTTGATGTTTCAGACAGCGTTGGAATGATGGGTGCTAAGCTTGTACTCCCTGCATTTGGAAGAGATGGGCCACGACTATCTGGAGAGCAAGTTGAAAACACGCGCAGAGTAGCAAACTCCAGAATTCATGTGGAGCGAGTTATAGGACATCTGCGCCAGAAATATACCATCCTCCACAGCACAATTCCCATGGATTTTGTCATTTCCAGAGATGATAATGTTACACTTCTGGACAAAATCACCGTTGTATCTTGTTCTATGACCAACATGTGCCCATCAGTTGTTCCTTTTGACTGAATGGATTTTTGCTTTTCCAGACACAAGTGTCATTGAAGCAATTTTTCAATCTGTATTGCCTATTGTTCTTCCATGTCATAACAATTTTAGAACAAGTCTCCCTCTGCTTGAGTCTCAAGTTAAGTCCAGTCTAACTGCCTTCGAGTGCCAAGTCAAGTCAAACTCATGTACATGTTCATGTACCTTCGAATCCCTAGTCAAATCAAATCAACACAGGCATGTTGGTGAAGTCGGGTCAAGTCAAGTTGTCACTGCAGTAACTTCGTTCAAGCTAATTTTAAATTGTTATCTTAAAAAAAAGATTCGAATCCAAGTCAAGTCATTTGAAAAAGTGAAGCGAATCCAAGTCAAGTCATTTGAGGTTGGATACTTGAGTCGATTTGAGTCCCGAGTCTCGAGTCCAAGTCATTACAACACTCTGTCATAATACTTAATAGCATTGATGCTATTTGTTGTGGTTTTTCCCAAAATAATCTGTCACAAACCATTTGAGAGAAAGTAACGTACGTTGGATCATATGATTTATAGCAACCCTTACTCCAATAACTCCATCCATTCGAATCTCTACTTCTTCATATTAGTGAATGGATATGATTCACATGGGGGGGGGGGTTGAATTTTAAGAAATATGGTCCAATAATAAAAAAATAAAATGAATACATAAAAATAGATTAGAAATGAATGAAAGTCGACTTTCATGGAAAAACAAAACACTCGTGGTGGTGACGAAATATCTATTGTATTGAATTTTGGCTAAAACCTCCGTCTTATTGAAGAGGACATTTAATGATTTATAATCGAACACGCCACTCTAGAAGCTGCTGGCCCCCGCCCATGATGAGTTATAAGCTTATTTTGTATAAATGCCTAATGCGGTGGTGGATGGCAGTGTAAATGTTGTGATTCTTTTTTATAACCGGTGTATATAGTTTTCATTGTTGTGGCCATTTCCAAACACATTTTTTTCTTAACCAGTGTATTATTTTAATTATGATCATGTATTTATACTTATTCATTCATTTATTTATATATGTACATTTTTATTTATTCATTCATATATTTATTATATTTATTTATATATATTATATTATTCATATATTGGATTGTGATGGATGCCATTTTCATTGGATATATCTATTTATATATATTATATATATTATATTATAAAATGTGGGGATGCTGCGTAGCACTGTGAAGCATAGTAGATGTAAAAACAACAGTAAAACAGTGCTCACCGGATAGTACAATCCAAGCTTTCGGTGCAAAGCACCTTCATCGGGGATACTATGGCTATGTGTGATGTGGCGCAGGTGGAACAAACGCAGTAAACACGTTTACTGTGTTTACTTTGCACCGAAAGCTTGGATTTTACTATCCGGTGAGCACTGTTTTACTTTTGTTTTTACATCTATATTATATTATATAAATATTATATTATGTATATTATATTTATTTATATATATATATATTTATTTAAACTAAATATATATATTTATATATATTGGGGGGGAAAGAACCAGAGAAACACATCCTTTGCACATGTATACATAACAATAATGTTATTTATTTTTGTATATTACAATTGTGGGTTCTGACATAAGGCACGCCCTTGAAGAGAAGTCAATTTTACAGTACAGTAGATAACGAATAACCTTGGGATCCATCAAAAGTTGTTGTTACTGTGGGTGATCATTATACATGTACTATAGACTATAGGGAGCAAAGAGATACACTGTAACTTATACATTGAGAGCCATGAGTCATGTTCACGGATGCAGAATGTTCATTAGAGCAACTTTCTACAGTATTTTCTGAAATGTGTTCACCTGCATTGTCATATGAGTATGCACAGTGTAAACTCAATAATAAAAACACTTGCTTACAAAAAGAAAAACTTTGATCAGAGGTCCTTTGTTTTTATTACAGCCTGGTGTGTGTTACAAGGGAATTCTATATATGTACATTTGATTGCACCCATTTGAAATTAATACAACTAGGAAAAGTAAGGTACATGCAGGAGCCCTTTTTTAAATGTATTCTTTTAAGGATAAGGGTACAGTCTTTCCACAGTGATGGAGCCCATTGGACAATTAAGATCATGTTTTTGCACAAAAGCCTTTATCTTTTCTCAAAGTGAAAAAAAAAAACACTAGTTTTTCAGGGAATGGCTTTAGCCCAAAAGTTATGCATTTTTTGCCTTGGGGTGGAAAAAGAAAGTGATTAAACTCTCTGCAACTTTCCTTAAAAAGCACAACCAATTATTGTTATAATCAAAATTTCATTCTTCCTTTTTCCGTGGTATTTTACGACACTCTTGGCAGATCCATTTTCCTTTTGGCAGTCTCTTTATCTGGAGGCAACTTTGGTGGAACCAGGTGATTTTGCAGCCTTCATTAGCGCATGAGATCATCTTGTCCACAGGTTGCGATTTTCCACAGTAGCAGTGTGTAGCTGGTGGCTTATCGTGAACAGATGGGATACGGGTTAGCCTTGACCAAGGCTATCAGTTGTTCCCATACGAGCTTGTTCCCGCTACCGCACACCGCGCGCGCCGCGACACAATCACTAGTTGTACTATACCGTTAGCCTCAACGACCCTTGCGTGTGCTTTGTGTACATGTACGTACGCCCCACACACACTTCCGCAAACAGCCGTACAATAAGTCGAAGCGCAAGATAGCCTTGACGCAACCGTGGCGAATACCTTATGTGTTTCTTTATAGTTTCGACCGAAATCGGCCGAAAATCTCTGATGCGCATTTATTACACGATATCCAATCAAAGCCCGTAAACTTTGACCCGCGACATACATATTCATGACCTGCAAATTACTGTATACACCACGTACATGTATGTTCACTCAAACCATGGTATGTCCAGGTATTTCAATCCCATTTTAAACCATTTCTCCAGTTTTATTACATACAAATGACACATGCCGCTATATGAGTGAGCAATTGTTCAAAATGATACTATTTCCAATGTATTGCGAATTGGACAGTTCAAGACAGTCCGCCGACGTTTTGTCGTTGCAACAGCGTACATTATCACGCCGCTACCTGCCCGTGCTATTCTGACAGCGAATGTAGGGAACAGGTCAACTCGGACCCAGGTCAAATCATACCCATTTAATCGAATGCAGGTTAACTCGTATCTATAGGCACCCGTATGAATTAACTGCAAGAAACGAGCTATTGACTTTGGGATGGTATGAAGCCCGGGAAGGACAGGGTGGAATTTTTTTGCGAACGAATTAGGAAATTCCAAAAAAAAAAAATCCACCCTGTCCCTTCCCGGGCTTCATAGGATGGAAATATACGAAACTGTCAGGTACATGGTGAAAAAAAACTCTCCCTGAATTCGTACCATGTGCAAATTACATCTCATACGTACGACACATGTATTTTAACGCGTACGTATGAATCGTATATGTCGTACCTACGACATACGTACGACATGCAAGTCGTAGATGTAAATCGCACGAGATACAAGTCGTTCTCACAAGATATGTTGTATGTACGACATAATCGACAAACAAGTCAAACATACGAGTTACAATTCATATTTTGTACACACGAGATATTAAGTCGTACTTATATACGACTTTGTCGTATGCGACATATATCGTACCCTGTCGACTCGACTTATGCACGACATATATGTCGTACCGGCACCTGTCGACATATATGTCATATGTTTGATATGTCATACTCTGTCGACATATATGTCGTAGCCTGTCGATATTAGTCGTACCCTGTCGAAATATGTCGTACCCTGTCGATATATTAGTCGTTCATAAGTTGTTCATACAAGTTAAAATCAGTCTTACAGAATAAGTTTGCTGAAGGAGAGATATTTTTTTCCCATATCCCCTTGACAGCTTAGAAGAAATACCCCCCCCCCCAAAAAAAAAGTGGTAGATATACTCAATAGTGTGAGCGCTTTTTTGCCGCTGAACGTGAAAGCGCAGCGTGTCTTACTGCATGGCGCCAGCCGGGCCGGTGCCTACAGTGGACGGCCCCAACGTGGCCTCTGTGCATGGTGCCATCGTTTTTGCCGGCGTGCGGTTTTGTACCGTTTGCCGTTTTTTGAAGGTCTAATTTTTCATCCTTTTCATTTCATTTTCGACCCAAACTATGTGTAACTTTATAAATATTATTCTACTATTATTTAAGATTTTAAGGGGGTCACAGTGTTTTACAATAATTATTGTTACCCACAGGCCGTCTGGTTTATAAACCTTTGGTCGTATTATGCCATGCAACAAATATTCATTTTTTTGTTAGCCGTTATCCAATGAGAGAAGACTATTTACCATAGTGCGTACTAATTATCATATTTGGCATACACGGTTGCGTCAAGGCTATCTTCCGCCTCGACTTACTGTACGGCTGTTTGCGGAAGTGTGTGTGGGGCGTAAGTACAACATGTACTGTACATGCACACAAAGCACACGCAAGGGTCATTGGGGCTAACGGTATAGTACAACATTGTGTCGCTGCGCGCGCGGTGTGCGGTAGCGGGGACAAGCTCATATGGGAACAAGCTGATAGCCTTGGTCAAGGCTAGATACGGGTGTAACATTTGCCCATTAATTCTGGTAGCACTGCTTTGTAGAAAAACTCGCGACTTTTTTCTAGAATTTCATCCCACATATTTGCATCAGGCTCAACTCGCTCGATATGGACATCTGTATTTGTCCACAACACAAAGTCAGCATAGTCAACAGAGCAAGTATGTATTTGTGTTTGAACCTGATACATGTATGCATGTTTCCTATCAAGAGAAACCTCGTTATCATTTGCTACAAGGCATGTATTTTGTAGGGATGCATATTCATTGACTTGAGTGTCACGAGCACAAAATGGACACTTGATTTCTAGGACACCTTCCCCACAGCAATCACAGGAAATACGCCCATCTGGGGAAGCCCCAATGTGGGGGCAATTTGTGTTAATTACCAAGCCAGAGTCCTTAACATCAAAATTATGGTGCACTTCTCCCATTATTTCCACATAAGCCTGCCGTGCCTCTATTTCATGGGAGCATCCCCACTTGGTTGCAGCTGTAGAAAACCTGCACGACTCTGGATAGCACACAGATTGAATGAGTGATTGAGAAGGTTGGTCTGGATTAGTCCTGCAAACATTCATTGATGCAGTGGTGCGGCCTGATCGAAAACGAAACCATTTCTTGCTGGATGATTGTGCTCTTGTTGCCTTTTCTACATTGTCTGCCTCCTCTTCGGTAATTGTCAGCTGAAATTCGTTGCATCTGTTAAGCAGGTCAGGAAATGAGAGAGTTGAGTACTGAGGGTTATACAGATCGGTTAGAATTGGTGGAAGAATGTTGTCAGTATGTGATGGTTTGAATTGGTGGCAGTGTTCAGGTACAACGCTGAGGAGTGCCGGCTTAGTTCCTGTTGCATTCATCTGCGAGAAGAGGGTTGTGAGTTCAGCATCAGTAGGCCCAGGAACTATCTTCCGCACCTTGCTCCGTGGAGGTGGCATCAAACCATCATTAACTAACATATCAAGCTTCCTCTTTTTGGTTTTGGCTGATGTGAAGTCTATTTGAGCCACAGGTAAGTATTGGGCATCCTTTACAGCAGATGGAATCTTCCAGTAAGCTGGTTCCTGTGTTACTGTTTTGCTATCTCTGATACGCACCTTTGTGTCAATGTAAAACATCAAAGCACTGACATGAGTACAAGCCTCTCCGAGACCAGCAATGCAGTTGCAGTGGGTTGCGATGATCTTCCCACACTTTTCTGCAATTAACCATGGCTTGAGTGCCGCCTCCCGCAGTCTCTGTGAATGCATCACCTGCAAGTGTTAAGAAAAAAGTTACAAAACATTTTCAGTAAACCAAACAGAAAGAATATCACACGAAGTAACATGCCCAAGACCAATGTACAAAATATGGAATGTAAAGCTCTGATATTTTTTTTCCTTAAAAAGTTGTATATTTCATAACAAGGACAATTAAAGACTTGCACTGTATTAAAGTAGCATCTTCTTATGGTGTGCACTGATGGGGAGTGAATTACAGAAAGTTTACATTAAGGGCACATAATTTTTTTTCCACCAAGTCTTAGTTTATTACCTTTGCTGTAACAACGTGCTTGCCGTTGATGACGGTAGAAACGACATCACGAACCCATCCACTTACGAATTGGTTGTACGCATCCAGGCCTTTATAGCATTTCAAGTCCTCCAAAGTGTATGGACTAGGAGTATACACTAGAAAATTAACAATGTCAGGATACGATATTTGAGGAAGAGAATGTGGATCCTCTTTCCATGACCGCAAACTAATTGTGTATGGATCAATGTCATCAATACACTGCAGAATCTTGTTATATCGGACTTTTGCAGGGCCATCCAGGGCTTGGTAGTATGTTGATCTTGCTGCCATGATAACAGGTTTACATACAGTCAACTGCGAAATAAAAACAGAACACAAAAAAAGAAAAATTAATGGTGCTCAATCTGCAGAATAATAACACATACACACACACAAATTACTGGTGATCGCCAGCTCTCATCAAGCTCATACAGGGCAATACTTGAAATTATAAATCAACCTTTGCAGTGTTTGACCTTGATTTAATTGACAATTACATTTTTTCCTTAAATAAAAACAATAACTTGGGCCAAAGGCTAAGTGCAGTTCAGATGGGATAAAAATTAGCAATGAAAAATGTAATGATTTCACTATGAGTAGGAAAAACCTAAATATTCAGCCTGTCTCATGTTTTGTACAAAAGAAATGTCATTATGGTCAAATACTGAACTAACGCTAGGGCTAGGCTAGTCTCGATTTAGATCCTCTGTATAATGCGTTGTTTACATTTGGCCGTGTATTGCAGTAAACAACGCATTATACAGAGGATCAAAATCGAGAATAGGGCTAGGCCTGAGTCAAACAATACATGAACAAAACATATGTACAAAGTTCCAATGAAATTCTATTTTGGCGTTATTTTCTGATTTTTTTTTTCGAAGTGCACAATGACAATGAACTCTTTTAAAATGCGCCCCAAAACATGAAAATGATTTCTTTACAAACTGGAGGTTACAATGATTTATCTGAATTTATCAATTTTAAAGAAATTATTAAATGTTAATGTGGGATTTTCAGAGATTTGTTCAAGTGCGCCAAGTATGCACGTTTACTCGTTAGCTGAATTTGTGCCCAATTTCCGGACGCCACCGTTTTTTTATTTCGGACTTAATTTCATGACACTGAAATCTTATGATTAGTAGGCCTACCTGGAATTACATCCCCGCTACAGTTGTCGATTTAGTGGTAGCAGCAAGCACTTCAGCACTGGAGATCAATGAATCATGACACTAACTTGTCTTGCAAGTCGAGTCGTACTCGGGATCGTCTGTAGCCTATTTACGTGTTTTAAACTTCGCGCCGTCAACGTCCCTGTAATCCAATATGGAGGGCGTTGTGCGTTGCTGCGGTAACATGACGTGGGCGAGACGGCTCAATAGAGCAAGGAACGCAAACATGGTATGACCTTAATTGTGACCCCATACGCGCCGCCCACCCACGGATTGGTCGAGCTTGAGATGGCCTGCTTAATATTCATAAGTCATTCATTGCACGTTCGCACGTGCTGTTCAGGCCGTTGGCCTCATGGTTGGCCTACTTACGTTCGTTTACACGCGTACATGAGATTGCAACCATGAAATTTCGCAAAAGTCTTCATTTTTCAACTGGCGATTTGAACTAAACATTAAAAGTCTCCTGCACGTGTTTAATTCACATGGAAAAGAAGCGTATACTTTCCTATATCCACTAAGCCTTGCCATTTCTTTTGGCCGTTATTTAAGAATCGAATGCACACCTAAAAACTATCGGCCCTCGCTTTTATTGATTTAAAATATGCTTTTGTTTGACAGGCCGTAATAACACTTGATGTTTGTCAAAAGCAGTTATTTTTTTGGTAACAAAATAAAGCACACGATTTCAATTTTTCACTTATTTAGCCATCTTGGCCAAACAGTGCACGTATCCAGGTACTTTTGTGTTTTTCTGTAGTCTCGAATACATCTCGTAAAAACTCGCGTACGCTTTTGGGCTATGCGTGCGTGACAGGACAAAAAAACTGAGGTCAAACAGGGCTGTGTGCGCGACATGACGTCGACACGGGGCTTTATCTCTATGGCCAAGGTCATCTGGCCGACTGCGCGCTTTGTCTGGTTAACATGGGGTCATTTTGACCACAAAGAATTTGATGATGCAAAACGCGTCTGATACCCGACAGTTCAGTGTTTGAGGGATGTCATTCAGGGATGTTCAGACACAGTCATAGTTCATAAATATTTTCATTACTTTCATATAGTCTGTTTCGACCAGTGAAAATTAGCATCTCTGATGAATTTCTCAGCCTTCAAGCGCGGTTCTTAGGGGGGGGGGGGGGGGGGGGGGGGGGGGGGGGGCTAGGGGGGGGGCTGTAGCCCCCCAAAATTGTGTCTAGCCCCCCCAAAATAAATTCCGTAAAAAAAAAATTGCATTAGCAAAAAGAAGGATTGTGATGTACATGTGAACGGTCTCCCCCTAAAGAAGAAATAGCCGTGACAAGGGTGCATAATTAGTTAATATAGTGCAAGGGCGGATCCAGGAGGGGGGGGTGGAGGCCAAAGGGGGCCATCCCCCCCCCCAAAAAAAAAAAAAAAGAAACCATTTTTTTTTTGGGTTTTATGTGACATCGCAATAAAGGCAGGCAATGAGTACACCACCATCTTTTCCTCAAAAACAATTGGTTAAAGTGGTCAGACATTGCCTCAGATCGCACCACAGAGCATCTAGAATCCAAAAATTGTTCGGGGCCCAAGCGGGCCCCGAACCCCACGCCGTAATTTTTTTGCCCAACTTTTTTGGGGGACCACATTTTTTTTGGGCGCCCTCCCACAAAAAAATTGTTTTTCCGGATCCGCCCTTGCTATAGTGTGAATGATTTTAGGATTTTATTGGCGTTCCCCGTTGAAAATATGGCAGGAGCCCCCCCCCCCCCCCCCCCCCCCCCCCACCTATTGATTTTCGGAGGCCTAAGTGTCTGGAAAAAAATAACCGGTCAACATTTCAGCACGCCTCCCTGAAAAAAAATCTGGATCGACCGTGCTAGCCCCCCCCAAAAAAAAATATTGGTTCTTGAACCGCGCCTGCTCAGCGAGTAACGACTACTGCGGGGATGGCAGATTCGTCCAACATTCCGTCATCATGCAACACATTGACAAACTGGAGTTGAGACCAGAAGACACGGTACTGGACGTGGGATGCTGCATTGGGGAAGAAATCAAGGCAATGGCGGAGAAAGTCAAGAGTGTAACGGGTAAGATTCAGTTCCTTTCCTCGGCTTCTGCTTCTGCTCCAGGGAGGAAGTGTTGACGCACCTATTTTTCCGGCTATCGTAGGTGGAATTTTTTCGTGAGTTTGTAAGTTTTCTCGAGAAACTATGCGAGCAGCCCAAAAAGCATCCTACAATACGCACGAAATGCCGACTTTTTAGACTCGGGTTGCTCGGGCCCACGAAGCTGTATTCGAACAAGTTGCGTTTTATGAGTTGTTTTAGTTAAAGATATTGGTTATGTTCTGCAAACCTGTCTTCAACTGTCTATCTGTTCGTGGTGTCGATCCCCTATGGGGTGTGGCGGCCATGCCAAACCGCGCTGCCACACGTACATAACAATACTCGCATCCCTTTTTAAACAGACTCGCATCCCCTTTACCCCATAAGTCCAGCATGCCTCTATTATTGGTCGTGTACTTAATACTTGCATCCCTTTTTAAATAGACTCACATTCCCTTTTCCCATAAGTCCAGCATGCCTATATCATTGGTCGTGTACTTAATACTCACATCCCTTTTTAAATAGACTCGCATCCCCTTTTCCCCTTTAGTCCAGCATGCCGTTATCATTGGACGTACACCTAATACTCGCATCCCTATTTTAACAGACTTGCATTCCTTTTTTTCTCTTAGGTCTGGCAAATATTAATATTAATAATAATTACTTTGGATTGTTTGTGGCTTCTTTTAAAGCGCTAAAGTCCGTCATGCAGTGACGCTCATGGCTCTATACAACAAATATTTACAAAACTTACCAATACTGAAATGGAACACATTTAATTTGAAATGTTACATTGGGTATTAGCCGATGGGGAGATTAGAGTGTGAACAGATATGTTTCAGTACCTGTTTGGAAGTGCATCTCATCGTAACTAAACCATCATTCTTTTTTTCACATGTTTCCAGATCAAGTTATTCAACCGACAGTAAAATGTAGCACGACGTATTTCAAACCAAAAAGGATCAGTTTTAAAATTAAAAATTGCTAAATGCGGAAGTGATAGAATTCCGTAAGTTTTATATTTTTTTTTTCACGTACAAATGTTCGCAACTCTGGGCACTATCCAAACATAGCCCAATCCCATACTACGTTGACCTAATTAATTCAAGAGGTTAAGTGTAAAAATATTGTTTTCAATATCACGCCCTTACTGTTACTATATCGATTTCGTTTTAATATTATTTTTTAGTCTTTTGGGTCCAACTTTTTCATTTTGCCGACGCGCATGGCTACGGCGACGCGCGCGCATACCAGAAACCGGAGACTTTTTTGGGGGGCCTAATAGTATGAATGGACATTATACTTGAACGTCCGTGATTTTGGTTATGTTTTCTTGTCTGTTTCTTAAGGCGAATTATAGGCTTATCAACAAAAACCTAAACTCTCGGCCAACCTTTTCTATTTTTTACATCCTTTCTGTTGAGAGCATTGGTCCCGGTCCCAACGTTATCGATGGTAATGTTGGGAGGATTTCAGTCGGGTTGCAAAATACATATTTCTGAATTTGTGAAGCAACATTTCGCCAAAACTAAAAAGTGGATGAGGTCTTCATTCGATGTCTCATTATTTTGCTTGAAAGATGGGAAATAAAAGAAACATTCTTCAAGGTGAAAGTTGAAAGCTAAAGCACGCAGAGAGTCTACAGTTTTCCTTCCTCTGTCTTCATCCATGTTTCACTCTTTACTTTTTTTATGTGATCGTAGATTCAATCATGGAGGAAGGAATAGATCAAGTAGGCCTACCAGAGCGTGTTTGCTCTATGGTTTGATCTTGGTTTGACACCGCAACACCGTGTCACGTGTTTCTCCGTCAACAGACCTATTTATCTCCGTATTTTGTAAGCGTTCAAGTACTTTTAAAAACGCCAAGCTTTATGGTAAAAAAAATCATGAACCAATTACAGAAGTATTTCATCATGCTAGGAAACTGCGCTATACATGTATACATGTGTATAATCATGTCACCGCTCGTTGGCACAGTGACCGGATTCGTGATTCAACCAATCAGCTGTGTGGAAACTAACATGTACGGGATGACTGCACTAATCTGCCCAGCGGACAACTTGTTGCACCAGCTGTGATCCAATCAATCAATCAATCAAATCTTTAATTTTCCCAACGCATACAAGTACATAATAATATTACTTAACATTTGAATTATTGTGTATGGCTGGATGGAGGTCTCCAAAAAGCATAAGCTTGTCGATTGGAGACCCCCACTGTAATAAAGAACAATTACAATTACAATTACAATTACAATTACAATTACAATTACAATTACAGTTACAATTACAAGTACAAGTACAACGATAGGAGTTAAATGACAAAAACATATTGGTACAGAGCTAGTAATACGAAATAAAACTAGAGTTATTTGGTCTTACCAAATGATATTATTCTACCACATATTTGTTAATTAATTGGGTTTTGTATTTGCGTTTGAATAATGACACATTGGACACCTTTTTAAGAGACGGATGGAGAGAATTCCACAGCTTTGGGCCTTCATGTTTAACAGTTTTTTGAGTTAAAGTTGTACGAGCCCAGATCTGGTGAATATCATGATAACGCCTAGTAAAATGACGGTGAACATCCTGATTTTTACAAAACATTGAACAGATAGTGGTAGGCAGGTTGTTGTTGGAAAGCTGATACATGCATAAAGGTCCCGAGCTGTAGAAGGTAAATATCATTGGCCTTTAGTGTTTTGTGTTTATAAAATAAAGGATTGCTGTGGGCCCGAAAGTCGGTACAGTTAATTATTCTCAGAGCTTTTTTTTGAAGGGCAACAATTCTATTAATATTACTAATTCCACAATTCCCCCATGCTAAAACACCATAGCTAATGTAAGGTAGAATTAAGGCGTTGTAGAGAGTGAATAACACATTCTGAGGGAAAAAGGTTTTAAGTTTGTTAATAACACCAACATTTCTAGAAATAACAGAGCAAGTATTGTTAATTTGTTTTTTCCAGGACAGAGATTGGTCAATATACAGTCCTAAAAATTTCATCCAATTAAGCATTA